AACAGACGATGGTGATCGAATCCTGAAACTATGCTCTGACCAAAATATGTATATTAGCAGTACTGCATTCCAGCTCAAAAGTTTAAAAAGCATCACTTGGCACCCACCGTTTCCTCAATGATCTGCACCCAAAATGACTGGTCCGCACCAGTCCAAGACTGTTGGTCAATTTGCAGTACATGCTTGGATTCAGACCTTGCTCTAGTGCGCCTACGGCTGGGGCTCACTCTTCATGCTCGACGCGATTGACAGGGCAGGTGATACGCTCCGGCAGCTCATTCCGAGACAGCGGTTTCTTTCTGGGTGCCCTACTTCTAGTCTTTGACACAACATTCTAACCCACAAGGTAGTGGGGTATTAGAGTTCGCTCAAGTGACTACTAGTAATTTTTCGCTAAAAGTGTGAACAACAATGTATACGCGCTTTACGACAGTATTATGTTACACAAAAGCGAAGGCGGCCAGCCGCAGCTGGGAGTTGGCAGGTTTTGGACCAATTAAATCGGGAGCCGTGCAGCTTGAGTTGGGTGGTAACAAAACAGTGAGTACCGGAAGGTGCCCACCCACCGTCAAAAGCATTGCTTTGCGATTGTGCTCTACGCCAAGTTAGCTGTATGATTATGACCCATAGGTCAGATTTTGCCTATGGTTAAGTTTTAAAAATAGATGGCCATCGACTTCTTCGTAACCTACGAATAAGAATGTATTGTGAGACTGGGTTATTTTGACTCTTAACCCTAGACCTTCCTGGTATGACTCTAAAGGCACTTGGAACTTGTAACCAAGCGTAGCTCGAAGGGTCAGAGAGAAACGCAAAGCATCACACTTTAAGTTTCAGTCTCGTGTTACTACAACTTTGGTTACGTTAATCTGTGATGTAGTCGTCATTCCTGCATCAACCACAAGAATACGTAGCGTGACGTAAAAACACCGCATATATTTTGCTGGGATTTTATGATATTTTACTTAGATATAACTCCGCCGCATTAGTGTAGATGGAAACCTTTGAAAAGACCCGGATAGCCTGCACAATAAATATTAAAATGATATCAAATACATCTTGCTTACTAATCATAATTGATTGATTAGTTTCTGTTTACCCAAAGAAATTTCTGGCCACTCTCAGACACATTGGACTAGGTTGTTGCCTACCATCAATGAACCCCAGAAACATGTTTGAATTATAAGTTTTGGTTGGATTGGGCTCCGAAAATTGAGGCCCAACTACATTACCTCATAAGTGATAAGACCATTTGAGATGAGTTCGTCAATCTAGTGACTTTGTTGTTATTAAACACGCTGCTGTTCTATCAGTCTTCGAATACCCTGAGACTATCATGATCTATGCCAATAAAACATTCTTTCATCGATGATCACTCAACTGGCAGCCGGTAGACAACAATTCGGACTGCACTCTGCACAACCCCTCTCCACCCAGTTCACATCATTCGTGCTTGGTTTGCTTTAAGTACGGAAGCTCTGGAGTCACGTTAAACTCACAGAAAGCAGTCACAGTGAGCATATATGTGCTGGCAGCCGGTAACTGTTAGGCTAATTGGGATGCATGGTTGAGTCTCACCTTTACAACACTATTCAGCTTGGTGCATTTATGAACCGGATTGTCCATTATTACGGTCAAACCTGTCCAAGGCGACCACTCAAGGGACCAACAAAAAGTGGTCACCTTGGACAAGTGACTACCATGGACAGGTTCATACATAAGCGGCTCTATTCATGGTCGAATTCACATATGTGATACAGTTCCAAATCGTGAATTAGTTCTATAAACCGGCCTCTTTTAAAATACGTTTTGCTTCTAATTAAGGCAACTAACAGTAGTATTGTATACTGTAGGGTATATCAGTAAAAAGGAGGCAACAGATTTACAGTTTTTGAGTCAACATTTTTAAACCCGATCTACAAATCAAGAAAATTCGCAAGTGTTGGAAACATCGTAAACAATACTATTGCCATAAAGACTTTCCACTGGATGAAAAACCAAGTATAATTGACTATTGCTTGGCAGTTGCAATGGAAGATGAATTTAATTTTCCCCTCAAGTTCACGATAACTGCAAGCAAGTCAGTGTGTACGCAATGTATTACGTAGGAGCACAAAATATCAATAGCACACTGTGCGTCTGTGAAGGTATACGTTTTCAGAACGTCTGTAGAATCCTCTGCTTGTTCGTCGTCTGATTCACTATTTAAATCCCCAGCTGATAAAATTGATGTAGTTGGCAGGTCCCAGTTTATTTCTGTTATGTCACAAGTTTGGCAATAATAATCAACCATATACCTGTCAGTCGGTTAGCATCCAAAAAATTCCGTTTGAAAGAGTATCCAAAGCACTAGAGATTGAAGGTACAATTTGCGCATATGTTTCAAGTCCAGTTTGCATTGCTTTCTCAGAACCAATTTCTGCAGGACAAGGAAAATCCGCTTCATAAAACACTTAGCGATTGTTGAGTTCTCCACCTCTATCCATGCGGCTGCTATTCAGAACACGACGTCCAATAAATGTACTCGTTTCATGAGTTCAGTTCCGGACATCTCTCTGTGAAATTCAATGCTCGTAACAAGATCGGAAGTTTCTTTATCCTAAAGTTCAGTTTGATAGCCTGAATGACACTGTGGTCGAGGGGTCGAACTAGTGCTGGGGTGCTGGGTAGCATGAACTGCAACGTGACATTAAGTAGCTGGAATTTAGGATGGCAAGTGGCGTTTTCAGCAAAACGTATGATGTTGCCCTTTTGCTACATTTTCTGTCATGACTTTGAATTAAAGATTCGAAAATAGCTGCTTACTTCCATGCCATTTTATTCTTCTTTTAAACTACCGGTAGCTTTTCATGTCGATGACTCTGAAAATTTGAATGTTGGCTGATTTCCTAATCTCGCTTCTCCAAACTTGTTATTGCACAGCTTAACTGTGATGCGATTCTTGCTTCTTTTCCCATCTGCGCATTTCTCTCCGTTGACAAAAAATACCTCATCCGAAGTTGCTTTGAATACTAAAGCAGTTTCATCTAAATTTAAAATGTCTTCAGCTGTGTAATCAAAACATATTTCGGGTAATTTTGCTACTTAGTCGGAAGCAGCATACGTATATGTGCCACCGCTCGCGCCCGATTGCTTAGCAAACTTAAGCTTGTGTCTACTGATGGAAGTCAGCAGCTAACACTTTGACTCTGTAATGTCTGGGTTTTGTACTTCTTTTGTGAAGTGCACTGCTCCTTCTTAAATCATGGGTCTAGATAATGAGATTTTCCTCGCCATTGCTGATTGGCACCACTTCCCTCAAAGTGCGTTTATGTCTTCGTTACCTGTTTTTCTATTATTCTTCCTTTTCATTCTTGGTGCCTTGTTCCCAAAGCCATACAAAACTCGGCTTTCCTCTTTAAAGTCAGAAGGATTTATGTCTTTGCTACTCCGAAATGTTCGTCCAATGTTCACCAACATTGTCCTTTCGACTTTGTCGAAGCGCTGATATTCTTTCTTCAAGTGTTAATGCCTTTAGCTTTGCTGACTTGGAACTAACTATTTTGTCCTACGTAAGAATCTTCAAGAAGCACTATACAAACGAGCATGATTATTCAGTAAGGACATACCTCAACAGTACCTGCTCAATGCTGCAAAATGATACATGGTCACATATTAAACCAATACACAAGGAAAGCCATAGTCACAGTACTTGCGACTGTACAACAGTATCACAAAACCCAGAATGCGCGAGGAGGCCCACAGCTATTTTGTTGGCTAACATGGCTCTATCCGATTGGTGCTATTCACAGCCCAGAGCGAGATACATGTGTTAGTTACATAGGGTAATATCCAGAGGGGAATGGGCACTGGACCAGTCTGATGTGAAGGCAGTGTAACCCCTGGGGTGAGAATAAATCGGTGGTATTGGGGGAGTAACGTAAATGAATTGGTAAGTTGCGACAGCGGGGTTTTGACAAGCCTATAGGGAATCAGATCAAGATACACCGAATGCGCGAACCTAGGCAATAAGGAATCAGAGCAGGACATATGGTTTGGTTGATGGAGAAATTAATATACTTTGAAACAAAATCTAATCTATTTTTGCTGTACGGTGAAAAACTTTCCAGACACCTCTGCTCGCAATCTCGGCCAGTCGTGCCAGTGGTGGTCGTCTTGAAAAGGTGCTACAACGCCGGAAGGTCACAAAAGCATGGTCGTGGTTGCATAAGACAATAAAGACCAATGCGAAAATAAAGGAAATTCGTAGGGGATATTTGTTAACTGGTCGTCATGGACAGGTGGTCGCCATGTCAGTTTGAACTGTATCAGCGAAATTGCGTGACGCATTGAGGCTGTTAGTTTCTCTGGGGGCTTTGAAAAAAAGATCTCGTGAAATCCCAATCAAAGCTCGACTGCCATGCACAATTCGCACATGAATTAATGAACATCGTGTGAAAATCGAAGTCATGCTAAAATACCTGACTGATTTCCAGCAACGGGGTGGCCATTGTGAACAATATGTGTTCACAAATAGACCCAGTGGTCGGGTACATAAAACGCCACACAATAGTTTGCGCAACGGTGAAGGTAAAATCGGCCAAGTGCAGCTCTATGGTTTTATAGTTCGAATTCGATAAACTTACATAAGGTTCCAATTTCTTGCAGGTTATCGAATTCACACGTGTTTGTCGTGCCTAGGCTGGCGATGCACTGCAATTAAATTTTGAGAGGTAATGCAATTTTCAAAGTAAGCACCTCATGACACATCTGGATAAGTAGTGTTCAGTCTGTTTTGAATAACACAAATGCTAAATAAGTCCAAAGACTAACAACAGCATCAATAAACCGTTGACTATATAGTTTTGTTCAGGTGAATTTTTCAATTATTTCCAGATAAAGCAACCTTTTCCTCTATTCAGGCACATTTGCAATATGACACAGCTGTTCAAGTTGTGGATTAATTGACAGCCAATTAGCGCGAAAAGCATACTGGCGCTGTGTTTAGAACAGAAGACATAAATGCTATTTCATGAGAAAAAGAACTGAGAAATATAGTTACCTTGATTCCATCAAGGTAGTACTGATCCATTTCTGCTAGAGGTCATGAACATAAATAGTGAAAGTTCTGGCTCTGCCTGACCCATATGAGCTAATAAAGTAAGTTTCTGGTAATTTAGTGCTATTTGGCGACAAAATCATTGCACTAAGTATGGCTTAGGTGCTTTTCTAGTTATTTTGAATTAATTGTTACCAGACACCTACTGGCATAATTGATCCTTCCTCGTCTGATAACACACCACTGTGTTTATATTGCATCGACATATTCCAAACACAGCGAAAAGACAACCCTTGATTTTTCTTCTGTTATGTTCTACAAGCCTTACGAAACGCTGCGATTTACGTTCGGCTGATGTTACCGACGATTTGTGATCGCGTTTCCCATCTCCTCTTGACCCTTCCATAACCTGACATAGTTAATATAGCAATCAAGTAGGAGGAAGTGCTCTCAGTGAGCACGCATTCCCAAGGACTCACTAACGGAAGACAAATGAAACTGAAATAGAATTGAAGGCTGGTAGCTCAGGTTGTTCAGATGGCTGTTGAACTGTTCGCTGAGCTTGGCAATTTTGTTGCAAACGTTTCGTCACCAATCGAGGTGACATAGTCAGTGCGTCGTGTACAAAGTTTTCTTCCAGTTTGTCCGACGTAGATTTTATCGCAGTCACTGCATTTTAGCTGGTAGATGACATTGCATTGGTCGGCTTCATTGACTTTTCCTTTGGGTCTTGAGATCAATTTCCTTAGGGTGGCACTTGGCTTGTGAGCCACAGAGATTCCATGTGATTGCAGCAATCTTCCTGTTAGTTCGGAGACGTTCTTGATGTAGGGCAGCACTATCCGCACTGACGATGTCACCTCGATTGGTGACGAAACGTTTGCAACAAAATTGCCAAGCTCAGCGAACAGTTCAACAGCCATCGAAACTGAAATATACCATACGGGATTATTGATGCAACAATCAGCTCAGGCCAGTGATCTAGAACTCTGATGGTCCAAGTCGGTAGAGGAAAAAGCGGACCATGTGACACGTAATTGAAATATAGGAAGTAATGGAGGTTGCACACAAAAAAGTATAATCAAGTGCAAGCGGTTTTGTAAAAGTAGAAGAATTGCAACCTATACTAACCAACATTAACATCTACACAATTCTAGGCTACGTTGCTTATATTCATGTGCATAAATAATTCATGCAGAAAATAAAGCACGCCTATATACACTCACCATTAGCGGAATGAATCCTCTTTCGCGGTCTGTTTGAATTTCTTTTTGTATATCAGCGGCATCGAATACCAACCTACAACCAATGCGCTTTGATTTGATAGTGCGTATCTGGATCATCGCCAAGTCCACAGCTCGTTGTATTGAACAGTTAACCTGAGCATATGCGGAGCAGGTGAAAGGATATAATAGCTATTAACAGCCACTTTGGACGGAAGCAATAAATTCGGGTGATCGTGGTTACCACAAATAGCTCCAGAGAATATCATTTGGTACGACGATACTGTGTAAATTAACCGGTGTGCTGCGATCTATGGTTATGCTTTCTCTGTTTCAGGTGTGCATGATTTTCGGATCATCAACGGAGGAAATTCATGGTCCCAAGGTATCGTATTCTTAAAATGAACAATGAACCGTTCAAACTTCAATAAGAGCTCCATATTCGGATAAGGTAAAGCATAAATTCCGGTTAATGTTTAATCAGCAGCCTCCTCTCTCTTGATTCATCCAGTCACAGAAGCCTTAATCGCGACCTAATGGAATGCATTAGAAACTCAGCAAGTTAAGCGGAAAATTTTAGATAAGAACACAACAGGTGATTAGATACGTGGCTACTGGACATGTGCTGAACAGGTAAAGTAGTTGCCAAAAGCATTAAACATGGATGTTGTCTAGTACAATGTAGAATTATTGCTCTCAGAAAGTGGATACAGGAATAAACCAGATTCCACTTAACGAGCCATCAATGAATTTGCTTGCAAGAATTTGCGGATGCATAATTTTGTATATACATCACCTGATCCGAAACATAAGCAACCATTCGGTCGACGATGGTTCCAGCACCACCAGCCGGATTGTCTTCAGTGAGATCCGCCTCTTGACGATACCGCTTTGTGACACTATTCCGAATAGCTATTGTGACAATGAGCGATGCAATGCCGGTGGTGATCTGAAATACAAGAAGATTGGTGCAAATAACTGGGTGGAACTCCTCCTTAGGACCATGCGTTTCTATTCACTATCAAGGTAAAAGGCGTCCGCTGATGTATTTTGTTTAAGTCGCACATGTTACTAAAGAACAATAAGGGACTGGATTTAATTCATTCTCAGGCTGCCCACTGCATGCTAAATTTTGAAGAATATTTACCTGTGCTGGACTCAGTTAAAAAGCTTATGATTAAGCTATTGCCAGTCAAAGTGCCGTACTATGAAGTCACTAAGAAAATCTCGAAGCATATAAATGAGTGATTTAATGTTATCTCATTTATCTAACAACGTAAACTGCCTTGCAAGTACCGGTGGATTAGCCTAGTGATCAAGCAGTAAGAGGAGCCTTAATCCACATTAATCTAAGGTATTTCGTTTACAAACTTAGACTGAGAGTATCCACCTGAGTCAGCTGAGTACCGTGAGCCTGATTCCAGCAAACTTAAACTAATCGTGATTTGCAGCTATAGAATGCACACAGCAGTTTCTAAGTGCTATGTCGTCCATAGTTACTGTTAGTGGACATCGCGTCTTTCGCGGCCTACCCTGTCCTCTGTAACGTTCGTAACTTGCAAGCCAGTAGAGGATAAAACGCACTATATCGCAGTTAACTTATAAATTATGACTGTCAGAAGCTGGCTCGCGTGCGCAACTGACATAAACTGCTGACTGGCGGTATAAAAAGCTGATGGCCATGGGTTCGATTCCTGATGGATCCAATGGATACGCACTACTGATGATGCTCAACAGGCTGAAACTGCAGTCTAGTGTTTTTTCGGGATTGTGAAGTACTGGCCCATTTAGAAGCGTGTGCGACGAACTCTCAACGAATTTCAGTCAAAATCCCTTACTTATAAGTATTTCAAATACCTACTTTTAATGGCGGAACTGCTCGCCACAAAATCTCCAACGTGAGCCTGCCTTCCAGCAACTAGTACGTACCAGTTATACCGATAAAAACGGACCCACCTGCCATTTCACCGTGTGAAATGACGATGCGCTAGCATAAAATGACCCAAAACATGTACGATGGAAGTCAAGAATTTACACTTCGGATCAGCTGCAAAAACAAATACTAGTTCATTTCTCAGTCATTTGTTAGTCTAAAGTTATTCTTAGTCTGCATCACGTTCCAACAGACCCGGAGTACTAAATGTTTCACCTCAATAACTCCGCTTCCACAAATTTTGGAGCTGTGTTGTTTTGTATTGTAGAGGAATTTTGACGGAAGTCCAAGCGCCTTTGCTAACCAGTTGAGGACAATCACTTCCAGTTCTGTGGCAGCTGGACTTGAGGTCTAAAACGCATAATGGTTGCTGCATCATAATCGATGACAACATGCACATTTTACGCTAAAGCAGTCAAATTAGAGTGGGGTGCACAAGTAGGCGACGGTGTAGATTTATTATTGAAAAACCGGAAATCGCCACTTGTCTGATAGATCGTCAGCTGATAGTCTCTGGATAAAATATAGTCTAACTGTACACTGGGTAACTGAAATGACATCCTAGCAGTAGTGTGTTGGTAAAGTTTTATTTTCCTGTTTAAATCTGAGGTTAGGAAATGAAGAAAACATTGCCATCGTCTGGTAGTTTTGTCCCACTTTTACGCCCAACAATTATCCAGTGGCTAGCATTTACACTCCTGCGATCTTCACGTAATATTATTAATGGATTCTACCGACATGTTGCAAGTGCCTGTTAATATTAATAACTAGTGTACAGATTACTGCTATGAATAATGCATAATACCATTAAAAAACGCAAAAGATGTCGTTAAAACTATAAAAGCATTAGGGCTGGTGCATTGATTAGGCTAATCATCACTACGCGACTTAGGATATGGTTCTCTGCTCGCTAACCGGTGGTGAACCTCGAAGTAACTGTTTTGTTTTCATTCTGTATTGATGGTTACCGCACCCCGGATCATCCGCGCACAAATCACACACGTTGATTTGTTGTGCTAGTGTAATATAAAAGAAGACTTGTGAAAAGTAATGCTACAAGCACAAGTAATTAGAACAGACCACTTTCATATCTGTAGGTAGAACAAAGACATGGTTGGCGGCATCCGGTTTCGGATTTGCCTGTCACTGTGGCAAGCCACAGGACGCCTGCGCCTACAGAGGGACCATGGATGGCTTGCGCTGCACCACCCACAGCTCCAACCACATACCCCATATCCAGTGTAAACCCGAAGGAATAAGACCGGGAGGCATGCGGATGGGAACCACGTTTCATCAACGGAGCCGGCCCACACTCCTTCACAGGCAAACACAAGCACGCTGTAGTTGGGGAATCAACCGCACACAAGGCGGTGGCTGGACCGTAGTCCGCTCCACACTGAGTGCATGGAACCGCTATTTGAGCCTAGCACGGCCACAAGAACCGTGCACCCCGTCCCCTCCAGCAACGACCAACTGTCTCCTGGAGCCAGTAGGAACGATGTAGTGGGTAATAGACAGGTAGGCACCTTGTCAACATACACATCAAGCGCAACCATACCAGGGATATCAAACTACAGCCATTCAATTTAAACGACAAGCTGAAATAAAATAAATCCAATAATGCATACAGATACGGTGGCATAACTCTTCGCTAAATTACCATATGAAGTAAGTTGGTCAGCAACAAATCCGTGATAAGTAAGAAATGTCCACAAGTTACTTAAAAATGCTACAAAACGCAACAAAATTACCGAAGATAAGCGCAATTAGTGTAAGCAACGTGGCCAGTTAATAGAACATTATTCAGGGAGGCAGAACAAACCAAATAAAGCGGAATGAAATTTAGCCAGCTGAAAAAGACCTAGTTTAAGTGTAAGTTGGTTTAGCCCAACTGCGGTGAAGAAGCATCAAGAATGCAACATCAGCCTCAGCATGGGGCACACATACATACATGGTTGGCGGCATCCGGTTTCGGATTTGCCTGTCACTGTGGCAAGCCACAGGACGCCTGCGCCTACAGAGGGACCATGGATGGCTTGCGCTGCACCACCCACAGCTCCAACCACATACCCCATATCCAGTGTAAACCCGAAGGAATAAGACCGGGAGGCATGCGGATGGGAACCACGTTTCATCAACGGAGCCGGCCCACACTCCTTCACAGGCAAACACAAGCACGCTGTAGTTGGAGAATCAACCGCATACAAGGCGGTGGCTGGACCGTAGTCCGCTCCACACTGAGTGCATGGAACCGCTATTTGAGCCTAGCACGGCCAAAAGAACCGTGCACCCCGTCCCCTCCAGCAACGACCAACTGTCTCCTGGAGCCAGTAGGAACGATGTAGTGGGTAATAGACAGGTAGGCACCTTGTCAACATACACATCAAGCGCAACCATACCAGGGATATCAAACTACAGCCATTCACTTTAAACGACAAGCTGAAATAAAATAAATCCAATAATGCATACAGATACGGTGGCATAACTCTTCGCTAAATTACCATATGAAGTAAGTTGGTTAGCAACAAATCCGTGATAAGTAAGAAATGTCCACAAGTTACTTAAAATGCTACAAACGCAACAAAATTACCGAAGATAAGCGCAATTAGTGTAAGCAACGTGGCCAGTTAGTAGAACATTATTCAGGGAGGCAGAACAAACCAAATAAAGCGGAATGAAATTTAGCCAGCTTAAATAGACCTAGTTTAAGTGTAAGTTGGTTTAGCCCAACTGCGGTGAAGAAGCATCAAGAATGCAACAAAGACATACTGCCATTCAAACATGATCGTGAAAGTCTTTTTACGGTGACAGTAACACTGCGTTCCACAAGGTAACCTGTTCTCTGATGCCTTAACACGCTTTGCAATTATCAATAAATATACACCAGCAGCATTTCATTACTCACAAAACTGTTACAAACCGGCTTTTACATCTCACTGATCGGTATGGTGTGAATCGGAGACTATATGTATCCTATACATGCAAGATATACAACCCTCCTCCAACTACCAAGAACCTGCGATTTTCCGGAAACTAGACACTTCAGCTGTTCCCATGCATCTCGGTCTAGGAGAAATTCTTTCTCCTACAGAAATAATCAATGCTGCCGACTTCATTAAACCTTGATCAGACCACAAAGTTGAACTGCGCCTGGCATCGCCAAGAAATATGCCATTTATTTATGTATTCAAAAAAATTAAACGCAATTCCGGCTAGCAGCCTAACTCCGTCTGCTGTGAGAAAACAATACAAGATGAGTGGTACTTTTATTAAAACCGCTAGATGAGTTGTGTTAACAGCCAACTTACCCAAGTAAGTGGCACTACACCGAGAGATCCAGAAAGTAAATCTCCCAAGATGGAAGCAGTTGAGGTAGCTGCCGGGTAATATGCGTGAAAGTCGGGGTGTTGCCAATGCGTGACCTGGGGATAATCACGAAAAAAATAATAGATTTATACGGGCCAAGAAGCCCTGATTTACAAGTCCCGTCGGATAGTTGACGGAGATATCGAAATAATAGTAAAAATAATAATAATAAAAGTGTTAGTTCTTTGAATATGAAAATAAGGACTTATGGTTTACTCCCCTGCAGTCCTGCAATCCGCTTAGATTCACAAAGCCAACAGTTTACATGAAATAAATCCATGGTAAACTCCAGATGTAGAATGGAAACGTAGCGCTAATTGACAAAGTATAAGTGGATGAGTGCATCATCCAACCGCCTTTTAAATACTGTTAGTGTTGGTCCAAGGTCATGCTTTGTCAGTGTGTGCATGCTAATCGTGCAGTCCTGTGTTCTGTGTTAAATTGGACTTATCCCTTCACATTCCTGCGCCACCTCTTCAGAAGTACGCTCAATCGATTCGGATCACTGATCTCGATCCAAAGAATCTATGTTTTTGAAGTAAGTACAACGACGGGCTGGTACACTACAAACAAATCTTCGGAAGTCTATTCACTAAGGCCAGCTTGAGTAACTTTGCTTATTTAAGTTTCATCAGTACCTTTGCGATGCCCAATCCACTGAAAGACAAACACCGTTAGTGAAAAGCAGCAGTAAAAATAGGCCGGTTTAATGGTCTCCCAAGTCTCACGTAATGCTCCAAAGCATGCAGTTACGCAAAATTGAAAGATCACCTCCTTCAGTAGATGGGCAACAACAAGAGCTTATTGCTGGCCACCCTCTGTACAACCACGTAACCTCCCCCACCAGATTTCGAACTGCTAACAAGCCGTCGATACTGGATCTTGTGCTCACTAACGAAGAACTCATGGTTAGCTGGATAATTACAAGCACACCACTGGGTCGTAGTGATCATGTTACTCTACTCTTTGACTATATTTGCTATGCGGAGTACCCTGAAAAGGAGGAGGATAAAGTGCACACTGTCACACACTACAATGTGTTGTCTTAGCTTGTTAAGGATACATCTTGGACTTTCTTAACCGAATGCCCACCAGATGTTGCCTGGGAAACATTTACAAGGACGTTTAGTACACTGGTAGCGTACGTATCAGAGCAGAAGTCCATCCACCCTAAAAACAAGCGTAATTCATTTCTGAGGAGCAGGACACGTGAATGGATGTCCCGTCGGGATTTGGCATGGCGAGATCACCAGGACTGCCCGAAGGCCGAAAACTGGACTGCATACGTGACCCATCGTAACTTCTGTGTGAAGCTGATCCGCGAAGACAAGGTCACTCATCAGCAGAAGTTAATGAAGCGATTCTGCACGAATCGCAAACTCCTGTACAGGCACGTTAACGGCCTTCGAAAGGTAAAGCGAGGGGTTTCAGCACTAGTCACGGCTGATGGGTGCACGCGATCAGCAATGGAAGCAGCTGATCTCCTACGGCTTCATTACTCCCGAACGTTCCAGGAGGTAACGAGCACAAACATTCCCCTCATTCCTACTACTCCACCATCTGGCATAGAAAACATCACCTTCACTGCGGAAGCTGTGTTGAAGAAGTTGTTATGCTTGCGTATCCACAGTTCTCCTGGAGCTGACAACATCCGACCAAAGGCTCTCCAGGCAGTAGCTAGTGATCTAGCAACACCACTGGCTATTTTCTATCAGCGATGTCTAGAGGAGAACCGTATTCCACCAGTATGGAAGCGAGGGGTCATCACTCCTATTCATAAAGGAGGTAGCCGCACTGATCCTGCCAACTACCGTCCAATAACACTACTTCCCGTACTATCCAAAGTGATGGAATCAATCATCGCAGATGCGCTGATGGAATACCTGGAAAGCCACAATTTAATAGCCCCAGAGCAACATGGCTTTCGTCAAAAGCATTCGTGTAATACTAACCTATTAATTGCACGTAATAGCTGGACTGAAGCTGTTGATGATGGAGTAGGGGGTCGATGTCATCTACCTGGACTTTTCAAAGGCATTTGATCGCTTAAACCATCGCATCCTCCTTCACAAGCTTCGGAATTACGGCATTGGCGACTAATCCTGAGTTGGATTGACAATTTTCTACAAGAACGAAGGTTAGTGGTGAGAGTCCGAGAATCATTGTCTGATGCAAGCGATGTGGCGTGCGGAGTACCGCAATGCTCGGTTCTTGGACCTCGTCTATTCTTGGTGTTCATTAACGATTTGGCGAGATCAATCACTTCCGATTTCCTATTTTTCGCTGATGATATCAAGATATGGCGAAGGATCAGAGGACCGGAAGACCATGAACGACTCCAGTGCGATCTTAACACAGTGTCGAACTGGTCACTTCAAAACGCCCTACCGTTCAATGTAGACAAATGTCGCGTCGTACAATTACGCCATCGTCATAACTATACCTATTCACTTGGGACCGAAGGATTGCAGAATAGCTCCCAGGAACGTGACCTAGGTGTGATCGTACAGAGCGATCTCAACTGTTCAAAACAGGCTGAGGTTGCTGCGAAAAGAGCCAACCAGCATGTCGGCATGTTGCGAAGAGCATTCGGAAGATTTGACCCATCAATCTTCCCAACGATGCACAATTCCTACGTGCGCCCGCATGTTGAATACGCTATCCAAGCTTGGCAACCTTGGTTGAAGCGTGACCTAGAAGCGATAGAGGCACCACAACGGAGAGCAACAAAAATGTGAAGGGCCTGCACAATCACTCTTACCACCGAAGACTGAAGTTGCTGGGAATTTTCAGCAGGCGCTATCGAAGACTGCGCGGTGATCTCATATTAGCGTATCAAATATTGAGTGACCCCAACCACGTATGCCGCCATTTGCTGAAACTTAGCCACAACACGCAGCTCAGGGGTAACTGCTTAAAGTTGAAGGAACAATATAGCCGTCTAGAGTGTCGACGGAATTACTTTTCCCTTCGGGTTTGCAAACCTTGGAACGCACTCCCAGACTCAGTTGTATCCTCTCCTACCTTGGATGTTTTCAAAAAACGATTAGATGTTGCTCTTAGCTCCCAACATTTTGTTACCTAAACTCCCCTACTGTGGATTACGCCAAGGATGCATTACAACAGGATTTATGTATCAAACGGATCTAAGTGAGCGACCATATTTTACTTTGCTCACTCTTTACCTCAATGATCACTGCACCCCAGTGTCTTTCTGAACGTTTACGCTCGATAATTTATTTTAATTTTACACTGATGTTACTTATCAAACTATTCATCTCGGCAGACGTTCGGTAGATGACCCAGACATATTTTGATTTCATCATATTCACCTCAACCATCCTACGGGACGTGTCAAGCACTTGCTTTTATCCCGTGATAAATCATTGTTCATTGTTCAATTGACTCCTACAGAAGGTGCAATTAACGGCGTTTCACGTAAAAAATGCTGCTGGAGCTTTGGCGTATCGTCCACGGAAGACAAGCCAGACACCTCCACTAGATAAACCTACACTTAGAAGAACTGCAGAACAAACAATTAATACGCAACGAAAAGGCGCCGACAGTGATTTGTTCCAGAACCCACTAGCCGAGGAACGAAAAAGCTGAGCTGAAATAACTTGCGCACTTGGAATGAAACTTCCCCCAACTTGTCTTACACGCCTTTCACGACATCCATCATCTCCACACGTAGGGGAACCTCGATTACTGCGAGTAAGGTGTGGCAACACACGTGACCGGGAAGATGTTCTCTTAGCAAGCAACATTCTAGTGAACTCTTCTGTCAGTGCCCTCAATTTTCCTGACAGGTCATGGACAGAAAGACAGAAGCGAAAACCGAACCCTAGTTCGTCACCTCAAAACGTGATGAAGAAAGTAGTACTGGTTCATAGTGTGACAGAATCGAAATATGACGATAGCAGTGAACGACAGAAGCACGACATCGAAGAATGGATGTACATCGCAGAGTTTTCACGAAATGCAGAATGTCCTGGCTTTTGAGGTCACCCGTCTAATTGATTCCACAAACTACCAAGGTAGCGGGTCACGAATTTTGAAAGTTGCCTTGGCTGCACCCGATATAGTATCGGTGGCAATCCAAGCATGGTATGACAACAGGTAACTTGAACCAACAGAAGTACGATTTACACCATTCCTTCAATTAGTACAGACCTCAAAAACCGATGAGCCAGCCTCAATTGTACCTATCTCAAATCAGCCAACCGTGCAAACAATCTTTTCAAAATCTTTAGCAGATCGACACTATTTGTTTCGGTCACTCACAGGGAACGGAGCTCCTGATGCGTCAACAAAAACAATACTGCTACACCAACACTCAGGTGTTGTATTCTAAGCTCTCGAAAGTGCGTCATGGATATGGAACAAAAACTTGGGATCCCACAGCAGTTACTGAAAATTGACTCACAAACGACATACTTGATCCAAAGATTGAACTCAGTGAGCTGTCAGTCATTCGTAATGACCGTCCAGCTCACGGTGGTGGTGTTGCTCTCTACTATCAAGATTATTTGAAATGTAAGGCTCCTGCCGAATATTCCCTTGTTGTAGCCGACGAACTATTTTGCCGACTGCACCTAACAGGTCGAGATGTTGGTTCACAGAAGACGAGTGATGCTTGCCCCTTAGCAGTTATCTGTAGACCTCCGAACTCATCAGAACATACCGAAAACATTCAGTTAAACGCCCTCCGCTGTGCTGTTTCACAAAAGTACCCTCACTATCTTATAATGGATGAGTTTAATGTTCCTTCAATAACATCAATGTCTCCTAATGGGCCATCATTTAAATCGAAGCTCCTTACATTCATGGATATGGAAGTTTTGTATAACCGTGTGCATCGACCAACCAGACACCGCGGTTCAAACAAGCCATCACTCCTGGACTTGATCCTGGCTAATGAAGAGTTGGTGGTTGAATCAGTAGCATACCATCCTCCACTGAGCCGTAGCGACCATTCAGTCCTAACATTCGGTTATATGTGTTATGCCAGTATTTTTCCTAAAGAAAGAGCGACTCAACGAAATAGTGCGGACCA